CCAACCGGCGGTGCGCTAAGAGCGGCGACAACCGTAATAAGCAAAACAGTTTACCTTGAAGCCCCTAGCTCCGCTCCGAGCAGCTGCACATGCACTGCGCCATATTGTGGCCACGCCCTTTCACACGTCACAGAAAGACGCTGCGACGGTATGTCGGAGGGAACAAACTCGGCTCGTTTTCGCTTCGCGAAAGTCCGCGTTCGAACTCGGCGAAGTGAGGACTGGTTTTAACCCTTTCCTCGGACATCCGTGCGGCGCTCCAGGATTGGAGATTAAATGGAAATGCTGGAAAAGGCATCCTCGGGAGAAAAAAAAAACAAAAAAAAAACCCCCAAAGCCTCAACCCGAGGGAGACTTGATTTTTAGACAGTATTTATTTCCGAAATAACTGGATTTATCTACAGCAGTGTTTCTCAACCTTGACAATTTTAAGGCATGTGGACTTCAACTCCCAGAATTCCACAGCCAGCATTGCTGGCTGTGGAATTCTGGGAGTTGAAGTCCACATGCCTTAAAATTGTCAAGGTTGAGAAACACTGATCTACAGTGTCTGCGTATGTTGAATGAAAGACAATAATAGAACAATAAAGAGGATTTCGGCCGTCGTTTATAAGCTCTGGAGGGAATGACACGAAGAACGAAAGTCCCAAAGGTGCTTTTTCAAAAGGCAACTGGACTGTTTCTCTTTTCCTTGAAAACGTTTCGCTTCTTACTCCAAGAAGCTTCTTTAGTTACTGAATAAGCTTCTTGGACGAGAAGCGAAACGTTTTCAAGGGGGAATCCCCCCTCCCTCCCTCCCTCCCCAGTCCATTTGCCTTTTGAAAACATTTTGGAACAACCATGACCTGGATAGTTGAGAATCTCCATAGACACGAAGAATGAATTGTTAGGTTAGCTGCGTACTAAGAGGATTTATGATTTCTAGCGCTATAATGATTTTCGGATTCCCCTCCAAAAGATGCTTTGGGCGTGGGAACTTAGCACGTGTAGTGTTGCCAACACTTTTAAAGCAGTTGCCTTCCCCACCCCGTGGCTGCTTTAAGGTAAACATCATGCTCTTCCTCCAAAGCACTTAAAAGATTAACCCTGTAGAGCTGCACAGCACAACCACAATGATTTCTTCCTTTTCTGGCTTTCTGAGTTAAAAGATCATGCAGTAGCTGTTTTAAGGAAAGGACGCATGTGTATTGAAGTTTTCATAACTTGCGAACATAGTTATTATTTATTCGCTTAAAAGACTGACTTTTTGAATAGGTGTTCATGAATTTGCACTGATCAAATGGCTAGGCTGGTTTTAATCAGTAAATCAGTTTAGCCATTCGCTGATTTTTGGATAAACATGACCTGTATTTTTACTTTGTACATGCTAAGCAACTTGATATTTGGTTCTACAATAGTTTCTTCCTTGCAGAATGTTCATGCTTTTTTCTACTAAATTTGGATACCTTGTGGCAGTTGTCAGTCAGCTAGAAATTGGGATTTAGCATAGTTCCTTTGGCCTCAAGCTTAGGCAAAAATCAGGGTTTAGAAGCCCACCTAAGCACACTTCATCTTATTTTATATCTTCAAAAAATGTGTCTAAGAATGCTATAGGATTGGGTTCAAGAGCTCATGCTGTCCAAGGTTTTCATTCATGACTCAGATGAAGAGATGGACAGAATACAGGTAGTCCTTGACTTGCAATAACAATTCAGCCTAAAAATTATGTTGTTAAACAAGACAGTTAAGTGAGTTTTCCCCATTTTATGACCTTTCTTACCACAGGGTCATTCCATGTCAAGTGGTCTGATTTCAGAAAAGTGCCCTGCTCGACAATCACGGATTTTGATGAAATTTTGTGTGAACGTGCACACATGTCCCCAATGAACTTTAGTAAAGTGTTACATTTGCTGATGCAATACTTGTGGAGATATAATCATTTGTTTGACCCCATACTGCAGCCTTCTACAGTATGACTCTGAGGTTCCAGCAACTTTGAGACATAATATCTCTGGCAATATTTTGTTGAGAGAAACAAAACTTGGCCATCTTGTACAATTTTTTGTGCTCTATTAAACAAAATAATAAAAACATTCTCGTGAGCGATCTCCATCTAGATAATTTGGAGCAAAGTTGGCCAAAAATATTGCGGCTCAAAAAAAAGTTTAAAGTTTGGCTTTTTATATTTCTGGAAGGAAAGGTATGATAAACGTGAAACTTTGTGCATAATAACTTAGTAACACAAGGTTTTCAAATATAAAATTTCATTCTCCTACTGCTTTCCAATAGTTTACAAATTGAGTGTAAATAGGGTATTTTCAGCTCACTTTTACAAAAAAAAGACCTTCAGGAAACTCTGTTAAATCATTCTCATTAGAAAGAGCATGTTTCAACCCCCCTAAAAAAGTAGGGTTGGTTTTTCATCACTGACGTATAAAGCCCTAAAAATAGGGACAAAGTTGAAGACATTGCTATGGCAACGTCACATGTATTCTATTATTTTTTCGTCTTGTTTCTTTTATATAGACATCATTACTACTATTATATTGTGTTGGTCCATGGTGACATTGTCACTACCAGTTCAGGCACTTGAACCAGCAACCCCATCACCATAGTGGGCATGCCCAATAGCCGTGCAACACCAGCCGTGACCCACAGTGGGGGACCCCTGACCTACATGATATCACTGATCTTTTTCTGATGTATGAATGTAGGCAGTAATCCAAGTTACAGAATTTATTATTTGTTTATTTTAGCGAATGGCAAAAGTTACAGAAGAGCGCAAGTCTGACTGTTGCTAATGCCAGCTGGAATGTAGTTCCTCTGGCTTAGCCACAATGGTAGTGCAGTCAATTTCTATGAGACTAGGATATGTTGCTCATCACTTTGGGCTAAAATGCATTTGAAATAACTTGAAGCAAATAAAAAAAATACTCAGGAGAAAACTAATACAGTATGTACTGATATAAAGCTTTATTGATTACCATTTAAAAAGTTAGTTACATTTAATTAGGCAAGGTCCTAGCTATAGAACAGCCTTTACAAATGAAAAATTATTTTTGCTTTTTTTTTTACATTATTTTACACATTTAGAACTATACTAATCAAACTATATTAAGGTTAGTATTTTGCTGATACACTGGGGGAAGTATGTAATTGTACAAAATGTCATTTTATTTTCTTCCCTTTCATTTTATTCTACCCACGGATCCTCTTCATATAATAAAAGTATTCATGCGTACACAAACTCCTGTTTCTTCATATGACATACTTAAATACTACATTTTTATTTACAGATTTAAGGTTTTATGGGTTTTTTTTAAGAAATAACAAGCTAACTATAAAATACTCTCCAGGCTTTACAAATTCATTCCTATTGTACAAAACTGTTATATGACTATAGTTTAAGAACATACAACTTAAATAACCAATTAACTATGAACATGTTTGTATACATATAAAACACACTTAATACTGTTTAACAGTTCTCAAGGTGTTGCATATTTTTACACAATTATTTTCCAAGGCTCAATCATACAACTTTCATACTATTACTCAGCCATTTCATTTGTGAGTGTCTGTAGCAGCATTTCAATGGTACCAGAAAACCTGCACATATATTATTTAAAACAAACATTTTAGAAATGTTTTAAGCATCATGTAGAAAAAGTAATGTATACTGCTTAAACTATTCAACTAATTAACCAAAGTGACAACATTTCATACAACTATGTTTACATGTATGAATTCTATTCATTTTTCAGAAAGCACATTATATCAGCAAAGAGTTATCAATTAAAATTCAGCGAAGACAATCTTGACAAGTATATTATTTACACTTTGGGTGAAATGTCAGCTTCGTAGCAACTTCCAAAATGGGAAGTAAAAGCAACTAACCTTCTCAAATAAACACAGTGTACTGAAAAAGTGAAGCTTGGCTTAAATAGTACTTCTTAGCAAAAAATTAAAAAATAAAGCCCACAGTGCAATTCTAGTAGGCACTTAACACAGAGCCCCACTTCGTACCACAAACTTTACGTGCCAGTTCCATTGCACTTTGCAGACAGTGAAATTGAACTGTGCATCTTTGCTTTATGCAAGGGACTTCCTCAGTACCAGATTTCTTCCCAGTGGGGAAAATTATCATCTTCAGCCATCTGAAGGTGAAGCGGGTTAACAACCACATGCAGAAACTGATACTATATGTGCAGTTCACCAGTCAAATACAAAGATGGGCTGTATAAATCTAGCTCTTTGGAAAGAAGGTAAAATCCACTGGACTATTCGATAGAGAGAGCTAGAAGCTAAAATCAGTCCACACTGCCTACTCTCCCTTTCTAAAGCAGCTGATACGGACAACTTTTCATTTTTTTAAAAGGTTACTTAGAGGCTACCCGGATATATTGTATTGACTGGGGTCACCACCTCTGGTCTATCTTGGATAGCAATATTTTTAAAGCCTATTCATACTAAAAATTATTAATGTCCTCAGCGATAGGTGAATGCTCGAAAATGGAGCACAGATAAGAATTTAAATATTTCTAGATAACTTTGAAAGAAGTCTATTTCACATTTTTGTTTGTGTATCTCAAACATACTTCTCTGTAGTTACTCTTCGAATGAAAAAGTTGAACAGACATGGTTTACAGAAGGCACAGCTTGAAATCGTAAGGAAAAAAATTGCTATTTTTGGCTAAAATAGTTCTTTAGCCCTTTATGAAACTTACAGACACAATAGACCAGAATAAAATAGGCTTAGCCATTTCTTCTGATTCTCTGTGTGTTCTTTTATAATTACTAAATCAGTAGCTGCCTGTATAAGGTTAAGGTAACTCTGATAAGAAAGTCTGCCATTCTGTGTTTGCACTATTTTATGAAGTATTTCCATATATATATGTATATGAAATACTATAATTTCTAATCTTTGAAATGGAATAAGGGTTAGGAGATAAGAGGAGAGATAGTGTGGAATGTCAGCAGGTATTCTGGTTTCACTTTTAAAAAGAAAATAGAAACAAAAATCAGCTGCATAAAAATCCATCCATCAAGGCAGGTACTTTTTCAAAGTCATAAGCATCAAAGAGGTCACTAATGCCTTCTTCTTCATCAAGCCCAAGCAGATAGTCTTCATGAAGTAAAGGTGGCAACAAGTTTACAAATGGCCCATCAAGACTTGAAGTAATTTGGTCCTCTGTCTGCTGCAAAAGATTAGTGGTAGAAACTAACGGGGAGATGGCCGTTGCATTTTCTGAACAGTCAGGACCTCCTGAGTTATCAGAGTTCAGATCTGTTATAAGTAAGAGAACAAAATATCAAAACTTGCACACAGAAACTTTTCCCAACATTACTACGTATAAATGCTTTGCCTTCCACCCAGCTTATTGTAAAGTTATCTTTGCTACTATGGAAAGAGACAGCAGCCCAACACCTCCCAGCCTCAGGAACTGCTTAAGTCCAGAGGACCAGTAGTTTTGTAACATAAGCAGGATTTACACAATTAAGTGACAATGCTAATTACAAAAGTAGATTCTCTGGGGTCACCTCTTCCATTGTGTACAATCCTGCTTAAGGAAGTCACTGTGGCTCTTTAATTCTTTAGCCATGAACAGCCATGAGTACCAGACACGGACCTCAAAAATGCAGAACAATCACTAGAATCTCAGGGGTAGGCAACCTTGGCTCTTTTATGACTCGTGGACTTCAACTCCCAGAATTCCTGAGCCAGCCATGCTGAGGGGAAAGGGAGAGGTTTCCAAGCTGAGCCATTCTGGTTCAGGAATTCTGGGAGTTAAAGTCCAAGAGTCATAAAAGAGCCAAGGTTGCCTACCCCTGCACTAGATGATAGGAAAGAAATAAATTGTACTTCTCTAGAAGCCACCTGGAGTTTGGACCCTTATCTGACAAGCCTAACCAATGTGCATATTTTATAGGTGTAAACTGTAAACCAAACTGAAATTCAAACATTCCATGTTGCCTTCTATATTAGAGCACCTACAGTATATATGTGCCACATATACACAGGAAACATTATTTATCATAAATGCTATAGACAACTTTCCTTCCTTAATCACCAAAAGAGACACCAAATATCTGAAACCTGGGTGAAAATATGAGTTTTTGCACTGAAATAGGAACCATACTGATTTTACTTTATTAACATTCTATTTAGAATTTATAAGTACTTATAAAACATCAGGGTAATATTAATCATGAAATCTCAATCTTCCTGCCCGCCTCCTCCTATGCAGGGAAAAACTAGACAGAGGCTAGGTGAATGAGAAAGAGACCTTGTCTTTCAGTGTGTGCTCTGCCAACATGAAGCAAACCACCACCTGTAAGTTTCCCTTCCCCCTTTGGGGGAAATCAGAGTATTTGAGGTTATATTGAAAGAAATGAAGACATAGTGGCCACCCTCAAAACACAGAATTAATTTCCCTGCAAGAAAACCTTTTGTGTAATTCACATAAAATAAAAAGCTTTCAGTAAGTTCTAGGAGGCTTTAGGCCAGTGGTTCTCAACCTTTTTAATGCCGCGACCCCAACCGGTCGTAAGTCGAGGACTAAACCGGTCGTAAGTCGAGGACTAAACCGGTCGTAAGTCGAGGACTATCCAACCGGTCGTAAGTCGAGGACTTTCCCTGCCCGGGAGCGCTGCACATGGTTCCGCCCCCTGCGCTGGCCGAGGCATAGCTGGCAAGCAGCAGAGACGGAGCAGGCTGACCACCAGCTGGCCCAGCCCAAGGGAGGTAAGACACCCGCTGGAAAAGGGGGAAAAAATGGCGGACAAAAAAAAGGCGGACAAAAAAAATGGCGGAACGCCTTGCTTGGCGACCCCCATGAAATGGTCGATCGACCCCAAATGGGGTCCCGACCCACAGGTTGAGAACCACTGCTTTAGGCCTTTCACCCTCACTCACGTATCCACCCACTGTCATTTACATAGCATATCCATCTGGGGAACAAAGGTTTCAGGAAAAGCAATGTGTCAGGCTTGGCTTTTGAAGAAGCAATGCCTATAATGCATCGCTAGAAGGGCAGAGTCTGCCAAAACTCTGCTCTTTTTCCTTCAGTTGCCCAAAGGTAGCCCTTAGGGTGTATGAGAAAGTGATAGATGCTTCCTTCTCCTTTTTTGGCCTTGCCAGTTAAACTCTTATGGTTTGGCCAGAGAGTACGGTAATTACTTTCCAAGTGAGTGGATGCTTTATGGCAAACACAAGCCACCTTCACAGAAGGTTTCGTCCAGTGTTTCTTTTCCAAGATTTATTGAAAAAGCTACCATAGGTTATAGAAATTCAAACTATGGGATTGCCCTGCCCCCCCTCCCCTTTCAATTCAGCTTATGGAGCATCCTAAAATGGAGATTTTCTCAGTATTTTACTTATGGTACTTGTACAAATATAGATAAATTCTGCCTCCTGTGACAAAATAGAAACTATTTTTAATGTGACAGTTTAACATACACATTCCATGGCGCACGTTAATGTTTAGGTATTGCCAAAATTAAATGATTTGTCTGTTAGGCAGAAAACCTTAATTCACTCACTCCATATTTAGTGATTACTCAGGGACCATTTGCAAATATGATAATGGTAAAAAATTCATTTTCCAACCAATACACACATTTATGGCCAAATTTTGTGTGCCTGACAATGCATGCCAGAGTGGGAGTAACACTGGTATTGTTGCAAACTAGGAATCTACACGTAGTTATAAATGTAAGTAATATAGTAAAACATTATAATTTCTACTCAAAATTAAGAAAAAAAAAGTTATTTAGTTTACTTAGAAGTCTAGCATTTAAAAAAATTATACATTATATTTCAATTTTAAGCTCTGTATATATTTGGTTATCGCCAGTGTTCAGGTTACCTTTGGAAATGTTTCTTGAGATATTTCCATTGTGATCCTGATCCTGAGTTTTTATTCGGCTGGAGTAGTCCGTTTCTTCTGGACACAAGTACACCTCAATAGGTCCTTGAGTACTACATAGGTGTATCAGCTTATTCTGCAACAAGAAAGAATTCCAGTTTTCTGCATCCCTTTTGCCAATATACAAATATCTACTGGAACATTTTTCATTCTTAATGTACTGATCTGCAAAAGAAAAAAAGCCCAATGCAGGCTGAAAGTTTGCAAAATGATTACAACTGATCTAACAGAAGACATGAATTGGGATGGGACAAGGTTGCTTTCATATGCCTTGTTGGGTCAATGAGGTAACTCTGTTTTCCTTGACAAGGAAAACATGCTCCCTGTCAAGTTCTTGATGAAACCATCTTCTTAAGTTTCTTCCAGAGTTTCTTTTCCAAGGTTTATTGAAAACGATACCACATACGTCAAACTATGGGACTGCCCTCCCCCGCCCCTTCAATTCAGCTTATGGAGTTTCCTAAAGTGGAGATTTTCTCAGTCTCTTACTAATGGTACTTGTCAAAACTGCTGAGAAAGCTCTTAACTAATAAGGGAGGACAATCCAGTGAGTAAAAAATATGAAACTTTCTCCATTTCTAAACTTATCAATATAAGGCCTTATATTACAACTCTTACAGTTACTGGAAAAGATTTCTATGCATGTGTTTCATGTGCATATAGCACTTCTTCTTCCAAATAATACAAGAGTCAAAGAAAACAACATGGTTGCTTTATTCTTAGAAGTGAGGGGACCACATTGCTTTGTGAAATAAGCAAAGAAATGCTTCACTTAAGCCCTGCCCTTAAAGATTTGCACAGCCCAACTAATAGTAAACTTGGATGACTCAGCTATGCTGACTGAGAAGATGCTCTAAACACAGCATGAGGCCTCAAGATGGTAAAGCATAGGCCCCGATTCTTATGTCAGAGGCAGCCATTTAGTGAATGAATTGATGATGGAAAGCTTCAAGGCTGAGAGAAGAAAAATCAATTGCTTCAAAAAACAGAAGAAGCAGAATTTTAATGTTTGAGTGGACAATACAGGTGTAAAATAGATTTCCAACGTGCTGCTGGATGCAGCACTTTTTTTGAATGTACGGCCCTAACAAAACTACTTTTGTAATCTTCTCATATTTGCTCAGGAATATGGAACTGAGAGGGAATGTTCTTGCTATATCTAGTAGCACAGTATGCATCTGACTTCTAAATACAATAGTCCCATCCCAGACAATTTATAATCTACTGTATATTGCGGAAAGGCAGAAAGAAAGAGAGATAAATGAGCAGCCGAGACTGCCAAAGAAAAAGTCAAATGGCAGTGGTGCTGCTAGCAATGAAAGGCATAGCTATTTAACATGGATCACATGTGGCATAGAGGTTACAGAACTGGTCTTGGACTAGAGCAGGGGTAGGCAACCTTGGCTCTTTTATGACTCATGGACTTCAACTCCCAGAATTCCTGAGTCAGCATAGCTGACTCAGGAATTCTGGGAGTTGAAGTCCATGAGTCATAAAAGAGCCAAGGTTGCCTAGCCCTGGACTACAGAGATCCATCTTAAAATCCTCCTCAGCCAGAAAGCTCAGCTGATAACCTTGGGCTGTGTATCAGCACCCCCTCCCCCTTCAAAATATAGTTACAGAAAAAGTAAAGAACATTAGTAATGGTGATTTGATGCAGAGTGAGTAGACATAATAAGGTAAGTCAGGGGATATAAACAAGCCTGATACTAGCTATAGAAAGAAGTCCAATTCCAGCTGTTTGGAAAGTAAAAAGAATAGAACAGGATAGTTGTAGATCAGCATTTCAGAGAATGGAATGTGTAAAACAGAGCATAACATAAGAAATTCCCAGCAGGTTGACATTATCTACACAACTTCGGCTGATTTACCTTTTTAGTGCATGGCTCCTGAAAAAGCAAAACTGAACAGTCATTCCAGAAGAAAACAACTGCAAGCTACCTTTATACTGCTGCCAAAAAAGCACCATGGAGGCATCCATGCAATCACCAGGAATGGAGTTCAAGTAGAGGGAAACTTTATTATTTAAAATTAATTAGAAGACCATGAGTTCTGTCTTTCATTTGTAGTCAACCTTGGCTCTTTTATGACTCGTGGACTTCAACTCCCAGAATTCCTGAGCCAGCCATGGCATATCAATTAATTGGGTGGTTTTGGTAGGCCAATCATTCTCTCAGCCCAACTCACCTCACAGGGCTGTTATTGTGGGGAAAGTAGGAGAGAGGAGCATTAGAGGTGTAGGCTGCCTTGAGCCAAACAAAAATGAAGGCAGATAAAAAAATAAATAAAAATCAATCAATAAGCAAGCATATAACAGAAAAAAAATGACTGTAAACAACATAGAAGTTTGGAAAGTTTTTGTCACCCATACAAACTTATTCCATTAAATGACTCCTACAAATAAACATCAGTTTTAAAATGTAGAAAAGAAAAATGATTGTGCTATGTAATAAAATAAGTCTTTACCTTTTCTGGGTCAAGCATTTCAAGTTTGGTTTCTGGAGGAGCTTTGACAAGTATGACAGTTTGGTCTTTAAAACTCCTAATTTCTTGAATATCTTCATACCTAACATATGCTAATGTAATCAGCGTTAAAGAATTGCTGAGCAGCTGTTGAGAATTAGCAAACCAAAGTAGATATTTTAGTAGGGATTTTTATATTGTCTCCCGTTAACCTACCTTCATTAACTTGATAAGCTATTTTTTTAAAAAAAAAAATCATGGGTATGTATGTGTGTAGAGATTATGTTGAAGTGTAAACAAATTACAATCTGGAATCTCACTGCCAGGCTCAGTCCCAAAAATGCAGCAGTGGTTGCTAGATTTGGGACAGCTTGACAAAAGTCTTGGGCTCAAACTAAGCAGCAGACTCTCTGTGGAAAGCCTTTTGAAAGACATTTTTGCGGATATTTTGCAATATTAAAATAGCCAAGGACAGGACCCATGTATGCTATTGTTCACACTAATATGCCAAGTATCAGCCCCATAGCCTAGGCCAATGTTTTCCAACTTAGATAACTTTAAGAAAGCACAATGGTTGGGGAATTCTGGAAGTCCACACATCTTAAAGTTGCAAGGTTGAAAAACATTGGCCTTAAACCCCCCCCCCCAAAAAAAATGAAGAGCACAGAATATATTTATTAAAGGAGTGTATCTTCATTCACTATAAAAGGATATTTCCGATCTTCAGAATCTTTTAGAAGCTTGAGGTCATGAGAGCAGCTTTGGATTAACTCATCCAACTTCTTTTCTTCCTGGCTGAGTTCTGCTACCTCTTTTGACAAGCCTTGACAGTGTGCCAACATGCCCCCGAAATCAGATAGATTGCAGCCCCTTCAAAACAAATGAGCAAACAGTTCGTGGAACACATGGCAGAGTTCCAATCTGAGGAAAGGTGTGTCTCATTCCTTAATCGAGCTGTTCCTTATTTTGGAAGAACTAATTTATTAATATGAACAGCAAAAGAGGAACACATGGAGTTGCACAGCTTTCTTTGAAAATGAAATAAAAGACCAATAATACATACAGAATTTCTACTAGCAACAAAAACATTATTAGAGACAAAAGAATCAGTACAATATTTATATTTCATCAATATAAAATTTATTAACTTTATAGCCTTTATGGCATGGTTCCAGATTATGTGAGGAATTGTCTCACCCCAATGAGATTGGCCTACCCCACTTGCTCTGACAGAAGAGGCATGCTGTGATTTCTCTGGCCAAAAAATTGTAGCTGGAAGAGAAGAGGCTTTTCTGTCAAGGATCCCTCCCCCCCGACTCATCATGCCGCTCGAGATGAGACCTGCCCCCCCCCCATTGGCCTTTTAAAAGGGCCTGAAAATATGGCTCTGCCATCTGTCTTGGGTCCCAGATGGGGGTATCCATTCTGGGGGTGACTAGTAGATTAGGAGAAGATCCCACCACTTCCTTCCCCTTTGTATATTTTTCATTGTTATCCAGTGCGTTGTTAATTTTAATGTTTTAACATTTGATGTCCAATTTCTTTTTAATGTCTTGACTTTCTAATTGTCTTATATTGTTATTTAGGACATTGTAAGCTGCCCAGAGTTGCTCGACAGTAAGATGGGCGGCATATAAAATGTAATAAATAACTACAAACATGTAAAGAGTTACCTGTAATATTCAAATAATAAAAATTAGAATGGTATTTTTATTCAATAAAAACTCAATACAAACTCATTTAAATTATTATTATATACAGTATGTCATAACTATTTATAAAGAAAGCTGGCTTGTTCTACTAGTTAAGGCACCAGTATAGAAACCGTGTGAGTTCTAATCCAAACTTAGGCAATGAAAGCCAGCTCTGTGAATTTGGGCCAATCATACTCTCTGAGCCCAACATATGTCACAAGGTTGTTGTGGGGAAAATAGGAGGAGTAAAAAGCATTAGGTACCTTTGTCTCCTTGAGTTATTTATACGTATAATAAAGAGGGGACATAAATATACAAATAATACAATGGCTGGATTCATAAATTGCATCAAATCAAGCCTTGCTTGATCATGATTTGTTGAATAATACAAACTGGGTGAGCCATGATTTTACAAAGCATGAAGCTAGTATGAGACCCAGTCTGGTCCAGCGGTTAGGGTGCTGGTGAAGAAACTAGGAGACTGTGACTTCTAGGCCTCCCTTAGTTATGGAAGCCGACTGGATGACTTTGGGCCAGATTCTCTCTCAGCTCAACTCTCCTCAAAAGGTTGTTCTTGATGTGGAAAATAGAAGGCAAGAGTATTAGGCACAGTATGTTCACTATCTTGAGTTATATATAGAAAAGGTGAAATTAAATATCTAATATATAATAATATAGTTCACATATCACACATACTATGGCTCACTAGGATGTCCAAGCCCAGCCCATGTATTAAGAGCAGGAACTATGAAGTAAACTTTGCATTACATACAATATCTTCAGCAAAGGAATAGCCTTAGGGAATAATGTTAAATAGCTGGTGGGTGTTGATAAATATATGATAGACCAAAGATGGATGGGGAAAAAAAATAATAGAAAAGAAATGTAATAGTCAGTATACATGGAGAACTTTCAGGTTGCCATTCTTAATCCCAGAAGAGTTTAGGGCCATAAACTACAATGCATAAGACTGTTCTGCCTTCTATTTCTGCAACTTTGAATAAGCCATCAAAATATACATGAAACATTTCAAACACACTTATTAAGTTTCCTAGTCTAGCATTCTGAGGAGCACGGAAAGCCTTTCAAAGCCTGGTATGCATGGTCAGCCAGTATGTTCTAAATGTTTTACAAGTAGGCAGACTTTTGTCCTGAATAAAATATTTTGTTAAGTCTAATAGATTGTGGTTCTCAATTTATGTGTGTCTAGGGAAACTTGTCACCTTCCCCATCCCACATGTTGGAATACCCTACAAAATGAATGGTGCGTTTTAATTTACCTTCTTAAAAACAACTTCCTGAATAATTCAAAACTAAGCTAAATATAATTTTATCACCACAATTAAAAAATTGAAAACTAGAAGCAGACAACTTTCCTAGAATGCAACAAAAATACAGAAATGTGATACGTACATCCATTGAATGTTGTTCTTGGATTTTTTCTTAATGAGATGAATGCCTTCCAGAACATTGGTAATATCATAAATCCTCCTTTTTTGTACCTTAAGGACCTCTGCTGCTTTGTTCAAATCTACCACACCATCAGGAGACTGGCTTAACAACTGAATAAACTTCTTTGTGAGAAGACCAAGTGATGTATCATACCGTGTCTTTTCTGAAGGAGATTTGGGAGCTGGAAATAAAAAAAGTATTTAATGCCAATTCTGAAAACTGGTATAACATTTCATTAAAAAGAATTCTAAGGTACTATGTGAGTACCTTACACAGCACCCCTAGACAGTTTGACCTTAGCAGTATATAGGTAGTCCTCGACTTATGACCATAATTGAGCACAAAATTTCTGTTGCTAAGCGAGGCAGTTAAGCAGGTTTTGCCCCATTTTGCAACTTTTCTTCCCACAATTGTTCATAACACGGTTGTTAAATGAATCTGGTTTACCCACTGACTTTGCTTGTCAGAAGATTACAAAAGATGATGACATGATCCCAGGACACTGTAACCATCATAAATATGAACCAGTTTGCCAAGCATCTGAATTTTGGTCATGTGACCATGGGGATGCTGCAACAGCCATTAAGTGTGAAAAGCAGTCATAAGTACCTTTTTAAATACCATTGTAAATTTGAATGGTCACTAAATGAAATGGTTGTAAGTCAAGGACTACCTGTACTTAATTTGGCTAGTTTTAATGGCTAAAACTTCAGTGTCTGTTAGAGCTTTGATTCTTCTTCTGCAAACAAAATTAACTACTTTTCACTCACAAGGTTCAATTTACCCAAGAAGAGGGTGTAAGAAACTAAATGCAGTTTATATAGTTATGCACATGTTTTCTTACTTTTTGGACTCTCTGGACTTCTTGTTGCCGCTCTGCCTTTTCCCTTTGGAGTTCTCAATCCTTCAGGTAGAAATTGCTGTCCAGGTTCTTCTAGTTCCAATCTTCGTTTTGCCTGCCAAAGAAACAGAATTCAACAGCATCAGAGCAAATGCAAGCTCAGTTTTGCATCATTTCCAAATCAAGATAGACAGTAACTGACTCAAATAATCAACAAGACTTTATTTTGTCGTATTTATAGAAAAGCTATTATTTTCAGTGGTCCCTCTGTGGTATAGAAAACTGTTATATGATTGAAGCTGATTGCCGACAAATTCCTGCATCTATTAGGCAAGAATATTCCACTTGCAGATGACTCTGAGAGCAACTTCCAGATTCTAAAGTGAGCACTAGGGATTATGGAAGTTGTAGTCCAAATCAATTGTGATAACTTAGGTTGTCTGTCTGTCCGTCCGTCCGTCCGTCCGTCCGTCCGTCCGTCCGTCCGTCCGTCCGTCCGTCCGTCCATCCATCCATCCATCCATCCATAGCAAGTCAGTGCCACAATCTAAACCAGACATGTCAAACACAAGGCCCGGGGGCCGGATGCAGCCCGCGAAGTGGTTTCATGTGGCCCGCGAAGCCATCCTGGAAACACTGAGGGAACAGCCCCAGCTGCCTTGGCCTTGGCCCAGGCTGGCCGGGAGCCAATGTACAATTTTGTGGTGGCCATCTATGCTGAAACACATTCAGTCTTAGCTCCACAAGGCCATCTAGAAACAGTGAGGAACCAGCCCCTGCTGCGTCGGCCCCGTCCCCTGGGTGCATGCTGGGGAAGTGTCACCCTTTGTGAGGAATGAAGAAATGGACCATGCCTTGGGGCTTGCCCCGGTCCCACCCCCTTCTGCCAGAGACCCTCAAATCTGTCCCACTCCTGCCCAGGCCCCCACAGGCACCCTTGACGCGAACGATGTAGAGCTGGCCATGCCCACCCAGTAGGCCACACCCACTCCATCCACACCCACCCAGTAGGCTGCACCCACCCTGGCCACACCCACCTGGCCCCTGAGGGCAACCGCAATGCTGATGCGGCCCTCAGTGAAATTGAGTTTGACACCCCTGATCTAAATGCTATCATCACAATGCTAATCAACTTCCATGAGATCCATAATATAATAAAAATCCTAAAATATTTATCCAGATAAGTTTGGTGCATAGTATGCATTCAGCATACTAGTAGGTAGAACGTTGGTACTTGCCAGGTAATTTTTTCAAATAGATATTTTACATGGATACAATCTGGAGCATTTGGAGTTTTTTTTGCATCAAGGGGGCTAGCAAAGCTCTATTACATTTGTAATGAAAATACAGTAAACGTATTGTGACAGATGGCAGCACAAAAGAACATGAGCAAGAATTTCTATGTCCCATATGTATATGGACAGAGTCTTTCCTTATGAGGGATCTTCCAAGACATGCCTTCAAGGATTGCAGATGGGAAATCATCAAAATGAATACTCTTCTATATTTTGAGAAAGTATGTGAGGTACTGGGTTGCTTGCAGGATAAACACTAAGTAAGACTTGCAAAACTTCTGCTTTGATCTTTTTGCCTGTCCATATTGATTACTTAGTCTCAATTCAGAGTGTTTCTTGTGTTGTTCTATTTTATTCTCAAGAACACTGGGCAAGATTAGAATGGCTACGCTGCTTTTATGTGTCTTCTGCTAGGCATAAAACATTGGGAGCTTTCCAACTTCTATTTGACTGAAAGATCAAAATTTGCAGACGACACCAGGCTGGCAGGAATAGCCAACACTCCAGAAGACAGGCTTAAGATACAGGAGGATCTGGACAGACTTGAACACTGGGCGCTATCTAACAAAATGAAATTCAATGGTGAAAAAAGTAAAGTTCTACATTTAGGCAAGAAAAACCAAATGTACAAGTATAGTATAGGGGGTACCTTGCTCAATAGTAGTAACTGTGAGAGGGATCTCGGAATCCTAGTGGACAATCGCCTAAATATGAGCCAGCAGTGTGCTGCAGCTGCCAAAAAGGCCAACACAGTGCTGGGCTGCAGTAACAGAGGGATAGAATCAAGATCACGTGAAGTATTAATACCACTTTACAATGCCTTGGTAAGGCCACACTTGGAATACTGCATCCAGTTTTGGTCACCACGATGTAAAAAAGATGCTGAGACTCTATAAAGCGTACAGAGAAGAGCAACAAAGATGATTAGGGGACTAGAAGCTAAAACATATAAGGAATGGTTGCTGGAATTGGGTATGTCTAGTTTAATGAAGAGAAGGATGAGGGGGGATATGATAGCAGGGGCTGCCACAAAGAAGAGGGAGTCAAGCTATTCTCCAAGGCGCCTGAAGGCAGGACAAGAAGCAACGGATGGAAACTAATCAAGGAGAGAAGCAACCTAGAACTAAGGAGAAACTTCCTGACAGAACAATTAACCAGTGGAACAACCTGCCTCCAGAAGCGGTGAATGCTCCAACACTGGAGGTTTTTAAGAAGAGAATGGACAGCCGTTTGTCCGAAATGGTATAGGGTTTCCTGCCTGAGCAAGGTGTTGGACTAGATGACCTCCAAGGTCCCTTCCAACTTTATTATTATTATTATTATTATTATTATTATTATTATTATTATTATTATTATTATTATTATTATTAGTAGTAGTAGTAGTAGTAGTAGTAGTAGTAGTAGTAGTAGTAGTAGTAGTATTCCAGTGTAATTAAAACAAGGCAAACGGATCAAATTTCTATCCATTTACAATGAAGGCACCATCATCTTCAATAAACTTTACATTGTGCTACCTAGATCAGAACAACCAGGTTACAACAAGACAACTCTAGGGCAGGCTCAATCCTACCTTCTCAATTTTAGTACATTTTCTTTTTTTAGCTACATAGGTACATCCATGTAATTTCTTGGCAATAGCCAGTTGTTTGCCACTGTCTTCTTCTGCTGGAATGTTTTTCAACTTCCCAGTCTAGACTATAACCCTGGATTTCCCTGGAGGTATTCTATCCAGGCCCAATCCTATTTAGTTTAAAAGCACAGACAAGATCAGCCACATATTGCAAACTTTGAGATGTGACCTATAATGTAAATACGATATTGAAATAAAAATAATATGAATAAGTGTAATGTATTAAAGGTACATTGACTAGTACCAAGATACTTGGTCTATACTAGACCATATATTCATTTAAAAGGATACACTAAACATGTCACCAACAGAGTACTAAATATTAAGGGCCAAAAATAAAATCACGTTTAGATTTTAATTTATCATAATTGTATTATCTCAAATATCTCCATGTGTCTTATAGTAAAGACACTGTGCTTTTGTGAACATGTATACACAAAACACACACATGCACAAAAGAGAATTGGCACCAAAATTGCTAAATCAACATATTCCAAGAAACACCCTATTAACTCAGCTATTTGCAGCAAGAACATTGCTTGATATACTAACAAACGTTTTATGGCTGCTTAACTTTGATCTTTGGCTGTCAAATGTTTTCTCACAAGGCAAAGCTCCAGTCTGACTACTATACTTTGTTTTAAAAATCAAACTAATTGTGTAAAACATGTATAGGAAAGAATAGTGCTGAATTTCTTTGCCTGGAATATTATTCTTAGACATCTGGTTAAAACAAAGACAAATTATAGGCTTACAAGACTTACTGACTGACAAACCACTGCTAGGCTACACCAAACAATTGCTAGATGCAACAAAAAACATCTATGGATATTCTAACAGATAACAGGTTTCAATGTCAAATATTCTGACCTAATCACATCCCTTTAAATTCCTTTTTGTAGAGTTATTTACGAATAATGGTGAAGTCTTAATTCATTTATTTATTCAAGCATACTCAAGCAATGACATGTGTCGCAAGAGTATTCTAACAGTACAGTAAAGACAGCAAACTAAAAATGCTTCACTGAATCCTTTTCAAGGAGGCCCAACTGTACATCTAAAACAAAAACTGTGTAGAAATGGAAAACTTACCAAGAAGAGTCATCCGGAAAACATGATCATCCTAAATACTTCAAACATGCAAGTTCACACCAAGTTTCCCCGCTAATCAACTTGTCAGTTAACATCTTTTCCTTTCATACACCCACTGATACGTTGGTTTAATTATTTCATAAGGAGAAAAAATGTTTATTATTTGTGAATTTCAGGAGACTTTACCCTCAGACAATTCTAAATGTGCTGTTTAGCCAATTTGTTTTTGCCCAGGTATGTGCATTACTATTATCCCTTAATTATAATAGAATTCTGCCTCTTTCAAAAGAAGTTACAATTTCTGCCTTTTCTAGAATTGATCCAAGACATTGAGCTTTTTTGTTAATTTGCAGTTCAGGGGATATTTCAGGGTGGGAATGATGGAAAGCAATGGAAGAATTTCAGTTTCGGAATATAGTGTTTTCTATGTGCTTTTAAAATCCACAAAGTTTAACTTCAGAACTGTTGTAGCCTGCTCTGAGAGAGTATATACAGCTTTTGTAATGACTCATTACTTTAAAAACACCACTGTCAGCTATGAACTGAAAATGCAAACATATAATTACTATAGATAGCAGAAATCTAAGCAGCGATGTTTGTAGTCAAAGATTTTACTTGTTACAACTCCAATATTCAATATTTTAAAATAACCATCGATCCCCACTGGGATGTCCTCCATATAAATTGACACTAAAAATCCCAGAAAACAAAGTCGATTTTCCATATTGACTGGGATTCTGGAAATTTCAGTTCTTTCATATCTTGTGACACCTGTTTAGGAATGGTAGCAGAGTATTTTTTCCATAGTATAGTTGCTATAATTAGAGACACTTATGCCTTCTACAATAGCCAATAAGCACTTCCATTATAATTTCATATTTAAAACATATGCAGACCAATGCTACATGCAAACTGAATAAATATACATTATGGAAATAAAATCTGCCTTATGCACAAATCTGTAATTCACCAATATCTGTATTTTCTTTTAAATGCTACACATTTCAGCAATTCACATAGGGAATATTTTGCTAAACTAATTCAACTTTTTTTCAGCCAGGAGCTTTTTTATATATAGTTTTCAGAATTGCATGTTTT